TTCCCCCTATGAAAGTATGTACTCTTAATATTTTTGTAATCAAATATAACACATAAAAACAATAATTCAATAACGTGCTTTAACCACTAGGCGGTGCACACAAGGTCCACACAGCCATAATAACTTTGTATTATTAGTTTAGGACACTTATGTATGTATAACATCTGAAGATGTGTAGTTTTATTCATGTTTTCACATAATTTTACAGCATATTGCTATACTATTTCAGACTCAGTATTTACATTCTTATATTCAAAGAAAATCAGTAATATCTTTAAAAACTACAAGTCCTTTTATATCAGCTGTGCACCGTTATGGTGTAAATATAACCTATCTACAAATTAGATTAAATGTAAAAGTCAGCCGAATTAGTGTTGATACTGCAAGGAGATGTATTGTGTGAAGAGAAATTGAAGATGTTGTTTAATTGTTGATATATTTATGATCCACGTCAAGAATTCAGTTTCGGCGGCATTTCTTCAGTTTTTCCAAAGGTCTTCTCATCAGGGCTCTATAAATAAAGAACTACGGCAGATCTGTAATATACAATGCAGCCGAACCGTGTATTACAATGCCGTTATGTGATGACTTTCAAAGAGAAAAGCAAGAACACTCGGAATTAAGTATTATTTTATTCTTTTAAAATGTTTTCCGGATTTCATATAATATAAACACCAAATCCCAGCATGTATTGCGGCTAAAACATCCAATCAGCGAGCTTAAACCATAGCTGAGGATCTTGGGTAATCACTCGAAATGCCTACGTCTGTTTCCGGTTATTTTTATTTTGAAATTCAGTTCCTGACGGACACCAAAAAAGCCCGAGATTATGGAATTAAACCAATAAATAAAAGCAAGGATAATTGTGTGTTATTGGTGAGTAAATAACAGTGTGTTATTTTGAAAAGAATAACAAATTAGAAGGAAAAAAATATTTAAAAAATACAGATTTCAGTATTCTGAGGCTCTGAGCCCCATTTATTTTCCTCACAGACGGCAACAAAAGTCCGAAATTATACGATTTAAAATAAAAGCAATAATTGTGGGTGGCTTGATATTGAGTAAGAACATGTTTTTATGAACCACACAGCTTCCGGTCTTCCACGACCCGACCGGAGAAAAAGACGTGCTGCAGGCACGAAACACATTACCAGTAGAAATACAATGCTTTTAAAATCGTGCTGTGCAACACGAAAAAAAGGGGGAAATCGTGTTGGTGAACACGAATCAATAGATTAAAAATCGTGTTAATGAACACGAAATGCCATGACACTGGGTTGTGACTTTATACAGGAGTAGACAGTCTCAAAAGCTATCTATCTACCATCTAAATTGTTGCTAGATGCTTATATGACAATGACTTACAACGTTCATTTAAGAGGCATTCAGTCTCTTAATTCCTCCCTTTTTATTTCTAAGCTGCCAACTGTTGACTTTATACAGGAGTAGTCAGTCTCAAAAGCTATCTATCTACCATCTAAATTGTTGCTAGATGCTTATATGACAATGACTTACAACGTTCATTTAAGAGGCATTCAGTCTCTTAATTCCTCCCTTTTTATTTTTATTTCTATGTCACCAATGTAATGTTTGTAGATCCCTTTATTCAGGGTTCTTACACCTTTTCCAAAGTCAAATTCAAGCACTTTTCAAGCATTTTCAAGGTGCATTTTCCAGCTTTTCAAGCAGCTTACAGCTGTTGTAAATTACATATTTATATACACATACTCAAATGATTATTTCCCTACCTCACATTAAATCAGATGTTCTTTATGCTATAAACAACCAAATGTGTGTTTCGTGATAGCATTCTACACGAGGATGAAAAATTAAAGAAAATAAAACTAAGTTTAATATTTCAAAATGAGTGATCTGTCGTAGACTGGGCCTCCCATATAACCTGGCTGAGCCAATATAAAACAATCAGCCAAATAACTTTTCAATACATTATTGATTACTATTGTTGAGGTACTTTTAGGTTGGAGGTGAACATAAGTCAGAGGTAAATGGTGTACTTTTCCTTCACTACATGTATTTAATACCTTTAGTTACTTTACAGATCTGGATGAATGATGTGAAATCTCATCAAGTGTTGAATCAGACTTTAGTTCCACCTGGAGTAAATCCACCAGCTACCCTGCAGTATACAAAGTCATTCAAACTAGCTGCTCCTTTACCAGCTTTGAGAACACTTTCATGATCAATCATTATAAAACATATCATATATATTATTCTGAAATGGACCAATCTGCACAATGACTACTTTTACTGTCGCTACTTTCACTATATTTTGATGAGAATACTTTTCTACTTTTCTACTTTTACTCAAGTACAAGATCTGAGTACTTCTGCTTTAACTCAAGTACAAGATCTGAGTACTTCTACTTTTACTCAAGTACAAGATCTGAGTACTTCTACTTTTACTCAAGTACAAGATCTGAGTACTTCTACTTTTACTCAAGTACAAGATCTGAGTACTTCTACTTTTAATCAAGTACAAGATCTAAGTACTTCTACTTTTACTCAAGTACAAGATCTGAGTACTTCTACTTTTACTCAAGTACAAGATCTGAGTACTTCTACTTTTACTCAAGTACAAGATCTGACTACTTATAATTTCACTATAAGATCTGAGTACTTCTACTTTTACTCAAGTACAAGATCTGAGTACTTATTATTTCACTATAAGATCTGAGTACTTGTACTTTTACTCAAATACAATATCTGAGTACTTATTCCACCTCTGGTAGCGTATTAGTCTGAATTGTAGCCACAAAATCACGCAGAGCTGCATAAAAATAGACTCACAATGGTAACAAGTGGAAAATAATATTTACAAATGTGTACAATGACTTGTAGGTAATGCTGACTACTCAAGACACCTGACTTATACATCTTCAAAGGAAGACTGTGTTCATTCTACAATTACATGGGATTAAAGCAAAATGTAGTTTTACTTGAATAATACTTCCATTTTATATAAAAGACAGTTTGTTTTCATGTTGTCAAATAAACAAAGTCTTGGCTTTCAGAATATTAAACTTGTTTCGGCAAATTCAGATGATAAATATAACTTTGAAGCTTCGGCATAATTACAAGCAGAGAACGGAGTAATGTAACATCACAGCAAGCATAACAACAGCTGTTGTTTCTTGGAGTGTTTCCCCGGTACACAAACACAAAAATACACACACACACTCGCGAGCTTCCCCCAGACCAGTAATACAAACGAAAATGTGTCTTCGGGTCAATGTGACTGATTTCGATAGAGCAAGTCACATTTGGTTTAGGCACGAAACATACTACCAGTAGAAATACATTGCTTTCAAAATCGCTCTGTGTCGAATCAATAGATTATATTTCGTGACTATAACACGAAATGCCGTGAGTGCTTCATCCTCTGAACACCACAGGATGGCGACTGTAACGCACATAACATAGGTACGCTCCTCTGAAATGATTGTCCCCTGCAATTATTACTATTATCCTTCAATCGAGTTCGCTATTCAGCTAGCTAACATTAGCTTAAACAAACGTAACATGCAACGTTAGCCTAATCTAAAATGCTTCACTCCGGCGTACCTTTCATGGCTCGTCAGCGCAGACTCTCCCATCGTTATGTTGCACACTTTGCAGGAGGCTACTCGTGGGCTTGACCCTCGTCTTAGCCATGGCTCGTATTTGTCTTCTGCTAGCCAACGCTTGTTGAAACAGCAACCTCCTGGCACACAGTCATCTATCACTCTCATCAGAATGCCCAGGTCACACGTAAAAAAAACACTTGCAGGTCGCGCGCATAGCGCGGGAAGGTGCAGCGGAGCTGTTTTATGTAGAAGCGAAGCAATTATTTTCTTTTAATCTAAAAAGCGAACTATTCAGTCAGACAGCAATTTATTGTAAAAGTAAAGCATTTACATTTTCAAGCACTTTATCTCAATTTCAAGCACCATTCCCAAAATTCAAGCACTTTCCCAACCTTGAAAACACCACGTCAAATTTCAAGCATTTTCAAGGATTTCAAGCACCCGTACGAACCCTGTTTATTACATTTATCCTCGCCATCCATAGTCTCTAAATAACTTATTTCACGTATATATGATATTTAGGCTTGCTGGTCTCATCATACAACGGCAATGAAAAAAGCACCAGGGGAGGCAGCCATAACCTCTGCCGCACTGAAGGGGGCGCACGTGAGCCCACAGGTTCTTGTTGCTACTGTTATTCTACGCAGAGACGGTAGACACAAACAACAAACTAGACTTTTGAAACTAGAGGAAGATAAGGAGGACTTTTACAAAAAAGTAATAGAGATTGTTGTCCAGAAGGATAGCATGGACTTCATCTTCAAGTCAAGGTAAGACCACAATTGTAATGAAAATGGGATCTTACTAAGAAAGAACAATCCAATAATTAGATTTTGGGTATCCTTTTGTTGAATGGTCTGTTTAAAATGAATCGAAGCATCAGACTAAAAAAGCTTTTGAAAATAACCGAATATTTCGTTTATGGTCAAAATATGATATTTGTAAATCTGACTCTGAAAGAGTCCGTGCCTCACCAGCCATGAACCTCACCGCACGTTACTGAAATACAGTGGGTTCTCTGCTGAGCTTTTCAGTGTTCATGTTCCTACCTGATAATCATTAAATAATCACTTCCACTACAGTGAAGTTGTGCTGACAGAAGACAATGCAAGCACAGTCAGGGTCCATATACTGTATGGGTGTGCTTTATGACTCTGATCCAAGCTGAAAATGATGATTCTCATACAAGTTAAAGCTCTGACAGCTTAAGAGGCAACAAAAAGGAGCTTTCACACCTAACAACTGAGAACAAATTACTTGTTAGAATAATGAAAAAAGTCAAGGCCATAATGTGCTTCTAATAGCTCCGTCTGTCACCCTCCGTCTTCATCAGTTAAGGGCTGTGACTGAAAGATAATTATTTTCATTATTTCCCAGCACAGTGAATGATTTACAGTGTTATGTCTTTATATCCAGGGGAAAGGAGTTCGGTCATGACGTAGATTTTATCGTGACCACACCTGAGCTGGGGGAGGAGGAGAGTCTGCTACCCAACGTTATTGATGAGCTAAAAAAGCAAGTAAGTATGTTGCCTTATTTTTTATGCAACTAAGGGAAGTAATGAAGATGTTGAACCTTGTTGATCACCATTTTTGAATAAACGTGCATTCCGTTATATTGATATAACTATAGCACAGTGGTGAACCGTCAGGGCTTTCAAGGTATTCAGAGAATACCCTGGAACACTCAGATAAAACAAACAAAAAATCGATTTAATTATATAGCCTAAATACAATTTATATAAAATGAATAAAAGAGAATGGTATCTGTGTTGTTGATCTGTAATATTACAGTGTTACGTTGATTTGTTTGTCCTTCTCGGACCATGCACTACGCATTTCAGTGGTTTTGTGTTAGAAAAGAAAGCAACCAATCAGATCTTGTTCTGGGTCTCTGGGTAGAATATCCTTCAACCAAGGTATTCTATATCCTTGATAGAATGCCCTGGCCGTTGCACTGAATGAGAGCGTACGTTTGGACTGACAGTTTGATCAACCAATCATATATTGATTTATAGCCAATGGGCGTATTCTTTCAGAGTTCCCCTCGCTTCCAGGGTCCTCTAGAACAGTGTTTCTCAAACTTTTTCATACCAAGGACCACCTAACCAATAAAAAAAACACTCGCGGACCACCTAACTCCACAAATATCCAAAAACACATCGTTTTTTACAAATTGCCTGAAAATGGTACAAACAAGTGGCAACATGTGTGATGAAGGTGTTTATATGGGCTATATCATGCAATCGAAAGTTAAACTTAAGCTCGTTCCATTGCGGAGATATTCCCGCGAGAGTGTGAAAAACTTAAATAAATGTATTTCTTTCAAATGTGAAATGTTACCAATATACTCACGGACCACTCGGGGGCGCTCACGGACCACCAGTGGTCCGCGGACCACACTTTGAGAAGCACTGCTCTAGAAGGCCCGGTATTTCACTGGCTCAACAGGTGAAGATGCACGATGTTGTGGAATTGTTGTTAGTACCCTTTTCAAGACGACAATTCAGTGGCAAGACGGACATTATAACAGCAGCTAGAGAGGGGGTGGGGGGGGGGGCACGGTTCGCCACAGCTATAGCAGTATTGGTTTTAATCCAATTCAACCAAATTAAATGTATTTTTGAAAATCCTTCTACAGTACAAGACTCATCAAAGGCTAAGGAGAACTCTGGACAGAATAATGGAATAAACAGCAGACTGTACAATTTCCCCTTGAAACCCTATAATTTAGCTCTCGTGTTATAATTGTTGAATTGCAAAAAGAAGTTCAGAAAATGACTTGAACACTTTGCATTTAATGCTAAGTGTAGGTCTACACATCACTACAATAAAATAGATAGCATCACATAGGCTAAACTAGTTCTTATGATAAGATAAGTGGTCATTTATTTGGAACATGTGTTACTTAGCTAACTGATCCACCTGCCAAAGCTAAAACTTGCTAATAGTACAGAGTATTCAGTATGTTCAATAATGAGGTAAATAAGTAGATTTGACATCCATCCAAATGCAGATATAACACTGATTACAAATAAAAGTGAATATGGTGTTGTATCTTCCCTAAAAAAAATTCCATTTATTGCCTTGCTTACAGTTTCGTAATATACTAAATTGGAACCCCTGTATCATATATCATTTCGTCAGATTCTTCCCGATACTCAACAAGGCTTAGGTTATCATAATCTGATTCTACACTGCATAAATATTACAACAGACAATCCTTTTGGGGGTTGGAGAAAGGTATGAAAACCAACGAAGGGCCCAAGTCTGATATGAACAAAGGATGTTGTATTTATATAGCATTTGCTTCAACCAATCAGCATCTGGTGCTCTTTGAAACTCTATGGCACTATTATATTTCGATATACATTTCCAAAAGTGTAATATCATTGTAACATCATTTGGACCCCTAATGTTTCAAAAGCTACATATAACCTTCTTTTGCGATAATTCATTGCTTTTGAGTGGATCTCGCTATTGATCTACTTTATTATTATTTTTATAATGTTCTCTAGACTTAATGGGGAGACCAGATTTAATAAATCAACACCCAAAAGCATTCTAATATTTGCCAATAACTTGACTTGACTTCAAACAAAAACTTTTTTAATGGATTTCGAATGTCACTTGACCCAAAGTAAATCATTACATTTAGTTTAATGCGTTCATTCTTTTGCCAGTCTGTTGTCGTGTCCAATTCTCATGAAATATTTAGATGATAATAAACTCCTAATTAATCCACAAATCAATCTCCCGTTCATTTCCACTGTATAATTTAAAGTACGTCCTGCCATAAAGACCTATCTCTGCAGTGCATTAGTTATTTTTGCACAAAAGAAAAACTTTGAATGGAGTTGGTCACTTTCCATCATCCAGAACCGACCTTGGTCACCTACAATAGTCTTTTTATAAAACTTAGAGAGACAGCTTGACCGAGGTTCTGCCGATTTGGTTGCCTTCAGAGAAAAGTGAGCGAATCAGGTGAAAGAGAAATGGGATCATTTAGCAGGCCACTTGAACAACTTTTAGCTGGTCTTTCAGGGACTATTGGCAGCTTTGGGAGCTCTTCAATGGAAAAGGGAGAAAATAAAAGGAGGGGAGGAATGTGAAAAAGAGACAGACAGCTGGCACCTTAATGCAGAGAGAATGGAAGCCTCAAGTGAGAATTATTATAAAAAAGCGAGCGAGGGATAAAAGACAATGACAGACAGTGTTAGTGGCATGCTATGTTTACTGACACATAATGGGTTGATTGTTAGCTGTACTCAAACGATGACAACTATTTTCTGCTAATACCACAGTAATATGACACATATCAATGTTCTTCAGAAGCGTGTGATTAAAAGTCAGTGCATACAGCACATTTACCTAATTACATTAAACTGAGGTCTTAATCACAACAGCGTTCATTTTTATACCCACTGTTTCTACCTCGTCCAGCTCTCTGGCTTTACAACATTACAAGATCATTTAAATAACACCAACTTTTGCATTTACGCAAACGGAAAAATCTGTTAGGTAAAGGTTTACATAGATTCAGCCCCTCAGAGGAGGAAAATTACGAGTCAATTCAATGTCTGCAGGTTCAGTACAAACTTTAGGGCTGCACCATAGCGGTATTCACACATCCCTAACCCTCAGCAGTACTCAACTTGAAACCAAAGCCAGCGTAAGCGAACCCACGCAGAACCGAAAAATATTGAACTAAACTAGACCAACCCCAGGAGACAGAAACTTTAGGACACCGGTTTCACATGCGATGTTAAAGGTCCCCTATTATACTGTTTTTCATCAATATAATATAGGTCTCAGATATATACAAAACATGTCTCTGAAGTGTTTGGCTGAAACACCAAACAGATCATTGCAGCATCCCATAATCCCCTCTGTTTCAGCCCTGTTTCCAAAGTGCTGATTCTCTGTCTGTTACTTTAGATGAAAATAAGGCGCCCCTCCCCACGCCCCTCTGAGAGAGATTTGGTTACAAATAACACAATGGTGCTCTAGGAGGAGATTCAGGTGATAAGGCGGGGGGGGGGGGGGGGGGCATACAAATCGTTACGGGTGACAGGTTTTTATAGAAATGGATCAGGACAAAAAGAGAGAGAATCTTTTTTCCTGAAATGTTCAGAATCTCTTTACACAGAGGGGACACATGTTGATGTAGAAGAGACATGAACAAGTAGATTTTTATATAATTGGTGACCTTTAAGATAACATTTACTTACAAACTTCAAAACATAACTTTGTATCCAAACCTGAGGAAAAGTTAGAAGCCTTTTTCCCCGTGCCTGGCCATGAAGGTTTTCTGTTATGTGTCCTAGGGTTTGTGTGGAACCGTGAAGACACCTTCCTTATCACTTACAAGTATCACTTACAAGTGATTAGTAGCAAAACGGATTACTGGCAAAGGTCAAGGCTAAAACAAGCCTCTCCTAGTCTCTTAAGGTCCATATTTTAGCTGTCGTTGTGGCCTTAAAACTGACATTTGGACTAATTTTGAACCATATTATTTGCAGGTCCCATTTTGAGTGGAATCATCTGGATTTTAATTCCGTACTCCATATACTTTGCTTCAGGAAAATATGGCACAATGTAAGATAATTGTTGTTATTTTCTTCTCCACCTTGACTGTAAAGAAGCCAGGAGGGACAATTAAACAAGAAACAACTGTTTGTCTTGGAGGGGAACAAGAGACACATGGCTGAGATCTGCACTGGAGTTTTGGTTCTGAAAACATATTGTCTCAAAGCTGAACCCATGGATGCTTTACTTGGTAAATAAAACATCCCTACCAATGCAGCTTGTTGCACCGGGAGTATTTTTACTTTGCTCTTGATGACTGGCAAAAGAAAAATCCATGAGCTGTGGTGCGAGATTATAATGTTGATTGTGAGCAGTGCATCACAACACTAGACTATTGCTAAAACCATAGTACTGGCTTCACAACTATTACTTTACATTTCTATCAGCGGTGATATGTTCTGCACTGACCACAACTTGACTTGATATTTTCGTGGTAAAAAGATAAATATTTGTCACGATCAAGCTTTAAGAAATTAAAATAGAAGTTGCAACCAAATTGTCCTCTGTCCTCAGGAGTCCTCCAAAAAAAGAAATGGCCCTCCGCCGGGAACAGATAGCAGCAGCGCATCTAAATTCACAAGATCAAGAGCAAGATTAACAGCTTTCAAAGTTTGGAGGAAACATGACTGCAAGAAGGCAGAGGAACAGGCTGCAAGGCACAAATGTTCCTTCCTTTATAAAGAAGTTAGGGAGTGCAGTGAAGACATCCAAATTCACATCACTGTTTAAGCCATAGTTAAACAAACCATAGCCACAATGAGGTAATGGAGCATAACCAGGAGACAGAGGCAACTATCTGTGAAAACAGTGCCCTGCAAAGAGAAGTATTGCAGCATGACAAGGCAACAGTATTTCAAAGTTTTGGATGAACATCACAATGTCGTAAAAGCAGAGCAAGAGGCAATTAGCTTGCAGATGCTTTGCAAGATGA